TTTACCCAAAGTCATATTCTTTTCCTCCTAATTATTTTACTCTTAATTGCTTGATTCTGCACCTATTGAAGCTCCCAGAACTGTTCCCACTATAGACACAGTAACAGCCCAGAGATCCCCATATCCAGGCACAAACAAATGGATGCCACAGACTCCACTCTCACCTCGTAGAGAAAGGCAATGCAGGGTTCAAAACATCCACTGCACAACTGGCATACTTAAAGTCCCCTGAAATAATTTGAAGCACATAACAAAATATCATGAACTTTCCCCTGGGAGGGCAAGTGGGGAGATTGATTTGACATAAAAGACTAGCTACTGTTCTTAATTCATAGTTTGGCAGATCTCAGGCATTTTAAGTGAATGAACAAATTTTGTATTACAGAATGTCCTTTGCAGAATTCAGGTTTTAAAAAAAATAATTTAAATTTTGGGTTTTTTTTAAAGCCTTATGAAATCCTCTTTGTGAGTGTTATTAATTGTGCTGCTTTAGAAATTTCATTTTTGTTTTAGATGCTGTAAGTCATCACAATTTGCAACACCAACAGAACTGGGTGGAACTGATAATACTCTGAGTTTTAAGTACATTACAGAACTGTGCATAATAGCTGTGGACAGTTGCAGAGTATAAACCTGTTCCCCACCCAGACAAGGTGTCAATGGTCATTATTATTCTGTATGTTCATTCTGTCTGCCGAAAGAACAGAAGAGTCTGAGCCCTGGCAAAAAAGATTAAGACAAAGGCTGCAAGCTTCAAATTCGTCTTATCTGGTGTTCATGAATGTAATATATTAATCAAATGAAGTTTACTTTGAGATTTGTTTCACAAAACATCCACGTTTTTCTGTTAGATTTGGAGCATAAGGAAAAAGCTGCCTAACCTAATATTTTGGGAAATGTTAAAATTTTGGAGTTTTCAAGCCTGAACTTTCTCCCCTTTGTCAAAATTGATTCCATAACCACCTCTGTAGTGTGCTGCTCTAGGAACAAAATGCAGTGTGATTAATGTGGTGAATTCCAGGAACATGCTTACACAGCGTATTGTAAAACACTGCTCTGGCAGACAGCTCTTCCAGCACTGGCTAAACAGATTGGCCACAGGCACCCAGGGCACTGGTTTTGGCTAGTGACTGAGACACAGCAGGAGGGTTAGAAAAGCCATAACTTTCTAAATGCCAGGAGCTGGGTGACTAACAGGGGACTGGTTCTGAGTTTATTACAAATCCTGATAATTAAGGAGGCTCAAAAGCATCCCCAGACAGTGACTGTGGGCTAGTGCTGCTCTTAAACCTTGCTGTCAGCATCTGTGTGATAATTCACAGGTGCAGTCTCCCTGCTGAGACACTGCTGAAACCACTAAGCAGATACCAGTGTCAACTTCAAATCTAGCTCTTGTAGCTTTGTTCCTGAGACCAGCAAAGAGTGTCTAAATAGGGTACAGAAGCTGCTCATTTAGTCCTACTTTGCTCTGAGCAGGAAGGTTTGTGAAGGTCTGCACATCTCACTTTGGGCATAACCATGTAGGTAACTACTTGAGTGTTGTCTCTCACCAGAGGAGAAAACTACAGGACATGAACGACAAAAAATGTGGCTTTAATCTGGACACCGGTTATATTCAATTAGAAAGAAGGAATATGTTCCTAAATATCTTGTGTGTGGGATCCTACTCACAGTAGGCACCTACCTACTACATTTGTTTGAGGTTGAAACTTTTAAAATGAGGAATTATAATGGAAACTTTAAAAACAAAAAAAACCAAAAAGCCTGATCCTTTTTATGGATGGAGTGATCTCTTCCTGAACATTTTCGAGTTCAAGAACATACTTATTTTTATTTCATGCGTGTGAAAATGAGATTAATGGTCATACACAGGATTATTCAAATGTGTTTTTTTCAGAGCAGTATACTGTATTTCTTAAAGAGATGTCCTGATGCAACAAGTCTTTGGTCTCTCTTTTCTTCCTATGGTGAGACTTCTGCTTAACCTTTTGGACTTTACAGAAGTTTTTGTGGGGATCTTCCCATGACCATATGCAATTACTTTACAGTGATTTTATGTGTTAATTTATCATTGAAATTACCCATGACTTCCTTTGGTTCCTGAATGAGCTGAGTCCTTACCCTTTTGTCTTCAGAACTACCACTTTGGTATGTACTGTGGCATAACAAGCATAGAAAGGTCTAGTGTCAACATTTTATTTCAATTTGCTTGTTTTAATAGTTTCTGTAAAGGCTAAGAAGTTCAACAGAGGCATGTAATTACAAATATTATGCAATACATAGACTAGATAAGATAAACTAATGCTGTAAATGTTTTTAAGTACTGTAAGTAGACTTAAAATTACACTAATTCATTTTAGATTACATAGTTTTAATTGGCAATTTCTTCTTAATCAGCCCTGCATTAGGGTTGTTTACTTGCTGGTTGCTTCTCCTTGCTCTTCCTTTCTTTTTCTCAGACAGCTTTCCTAGAAATTGCATCCAGAGACTCTTTGGGTCCATTTTCATTAGGGCAGGGGAGCATCCCTGACCATATCAGGAGCTCTTGCATGATAAGGGTGGTGACAACACTGACCATAACAGGAGCATCATCTGCCCAACCAAGATGAGGAACAAAGGATAAGCAGTTATTCTGATTAGCCTTGGTAAATCCCTAATCTGATCTGTAGCCCTAGTGGAATGGTGCCATTGTTACTGGACTTTTTTGGGGAAAAAAAAAAATCCAGTAGTTACCAAGTTGGGTTATGGCCAGGATGGAAACTTACTGATGACTAAAGCCAATTGTCTTGTGACCCTATAAACAATGGTCCTAAGTGAGGCCCTTTGACCTATTCTGGACCACAGTGGGCTGTGCCAGCACCTCCCTCTGAATGAGACTCCTCTCCAAGCTTGCAGCCCTCAAGTCTGTAATACTCAAAAGACCATTGCATGATGACAGGGCCTAGGCTGACAACCCCCACACATACACACTCCTTGAGGTGCAACCCATGCCTGTTGAGAAACACAAAGGGATTTGATGTATTTCACTGAACTTGAGGGGAATTTTTGGCAGGTACCTTTACACACATAGTTATAGATGTGTACATCTCTTTGCCTGTCTGTGTTAGTGTGAATTGATTACGGTATGAATGGTAGTATCGTAAGTCTATAATTAAGTCTGTAATAATTGTAGTAAGTCCCATTGAATTGCTATTTTTTCAATGCTAAATTACTCAATAATTAAGTGCTGCTAAACCCTGTCAATATTCTTTGCACCCTTTTGCATTCCCAGCCTTTGTGTAAATAATTCTAAATTGATTCTAATCCAATTTTCCTATGTATACCTCACCTGTGCATTCAGCAAGAGAGTGAATCTTCTCATGAAGCTCTGTTGAAGTTGCATTTACACAAATTGATATTAAAACCAGACTTTTGGCCAATAACTTTGATGTTGATTCTTTCAGCATCTGAAACCAGTTGTTCACAACATACATCAGATCTAGCTCATCAAAAGATTCTGACAATCTTTGGGTGTTTGTATATTTTTTAATGACTTGTTGAATTATTTGTTCACATTCTCTTTGAAATGAAAGGAACATTTAGAATCTATGGCTTATAATTATGTGCGGACTTAAATAATATTATACTAATTTTCCCTTTCCTTTCATTCTTTCATGTTGCCTTTTGTCTGACCATCTCTGATTGAAAGATAGTTTGCTGTAAACTTAATCTTAATATATTCAACAGAATCAGAAACACTGCTTTAATTTCTTGTGGCTGGTCTGCCTCAAAATTTGGATATTTCCCATAAAAGGTCTGATTTCTTGTAGCTGAAGGAAAGCTGCCAGTAGGTGAGTGTGTTGTTTGGGTTACATTAGTTTATAAATTTATTTTTTTTTCAAGGTCCAAAATGAAGTCTGAAGCTTTACTATTCAAACAGTGGCTACTGCTTTGTTTGAAGAGGTGAGGAAGTCTCTAATTTTTTTTTTTTTTAAATAAAGATGCTAACATTAGATGTTTTTCTTTTTTGAGAGTTATTAAGACCACTTAAGACCATAGGCATTTCGGGAAAAATTGTTGTAGTAAAAAATTGAAGATAAACCCTGTGACTTTTGGTAGTGCTGTGGATACTGGTGCTTCAATGATGCACGTACAGTTGAATACCCAAAAGAGAAAACAATTGGTCTGGAAGGTTGCTCTCGAGCCTCATGCTTCTTGAATTCACTTAATAGTAACTAATTTAATTTCTTTATTAGCACTGACTTTTAAAATCAACAGTTTGACTTCAGAGTCAAACAATAAATCTGGACAGAACTGCTAAGAGTGTCTTCTTATGGGTCATGGAAATAACAGTGAAAGCAGGAGTAGTATTAGCAGAAAAGGATGGAATTCTGTTATTGAGAAGCAAATTCAGAATAAACTGGAAAAAACTACTTTTTTTTTTTTCTAACCTACCCTTAGAGCTAGATTTCTCCCTTAATTTTCACAGATTGCTATGAAAGTATATATTTAGAGGTTTTTTTCTGTAGCATGGTGTTTTTTCCTCAGAAGGCTCCTGTCGCGGTCGAGGCGGGGAGGCGACATGGGTTTCAGGATACCAGCAGCTTTTTTATTGCAACAGTACAGCTACCTTTATACAGTTCTGGGGTAACACATGTACACACAGCATTGGTTTACCATATCATAACAACTCATGATTGGACATACAGCCACATGTCCTAACACCATAGGTTGACATTCCTCACAGGAAACCCACTGTGTCACAGTCCCCACTGTCTGTGGTTAACCCTCTGCCAGGTGTAAGAAGTTCCATCTTCAGTATCTCAGTTTACTGAGAGCCCAGAGCCAGCTGGGCTCCCCAACAATTCCCCCTCTTTTGTATTATAGAAAATGCCAGCATCAGCTAATACAGGGCCCTTGCACTAGCGACATGACAATATCAATAATACAATACAATTACACACATAGGCAAAGAATCAACCAGTCCTTCTTTCATCAGTCCACAAGAATGGTATTCCTTCTTCTCAGTGCTGAATGTCCATAAATGAGTTGTCCATGTAGCTTGTGCATGTGCCACAGGTAGGTAGAAAGCAGACTGTTGGAGGATAAGAATATTGCTCCTCAAAAGCTAGCTGAACAGACAGGTATCCTGCCCCCCCCTTTTTTTTTTTTTTAACCTTTTGTTTTGTTTTGTTTTTTCTCTTATTTTTTTTTATTTTTCTACTTTTTTTTTTTTTTTTTTTTTTTTTTTTTAGTTTTTGACTTCCTAAAGTCTTTCAGTGCTTCAAAAAGCAGGTGTCAGGAAGTTAATAATTCCATGACTCCCCTGAAAGCAACTTTAGAAGTCCTGGTACCCGTGATCTCTGCTCCAAATTAGCATTTTTGCAGGAGCAGGGCATCTAGCTTGATTCCATGTCTCTCTTTAGCAGTAACTGCCACTCGGGACGACAGAGTCATCCTCTTTAGGTAACATGGAACCTATTATACTCCGATGGTTTACCTGTTCTAGACAGGTGTCTCCAAAAGATCTGGGTCGGCCCCCTGCGACATTTTTGTCGCTTTTAAAACTACACCGGAGTTCCCGCCTCCAACAGCTCTCTCGGAGCTGTCTCTCTCCGTCCTTGTTCAGGACGTGAAAACCTTCTAGATTGCTTCAGGAGGTACTAATGTAAGTTACAAGCAGAGTAATAATAAAGCGAAGACGAACAGTAGCTGGAATGTTGCTTTAGCAGCCGACTGCTGATAAAAGGCAGTTGCCGGGATACCGAGATTTCGCAAGAGTCCGAGCCAAGCGGGGGAGTGCGGCAAACAGGAATTTGTCTGCCCCACAGCTGCGAGAGTAACGAAGGCAGGGTCGCTCGGAACAAACGGCACTGCTGAGTCAGGGCACGTTCGGGGTGCTGTCTCAGCTGCTCCACGCACAGTCAGGGACGTCCGGGGATAGCGGGGGGACGCGAACCGGGCACGGAGCGGGCTGAGGCCCTGCACGGAGCTGGGATGTCAGGAGCGAGGGCTACGCAGGTTGCGCACGCAGCCACGCAGTGTCCGTAGGGCTGCAGCTGGAACGCGGAGCGAGATAACGATGCTCCACGGGGGAGAGCGGGGCAGCCCTGCGGGAAGGCTGGGAGCGGAGCGAGATTACGAAAGCTCCGAGGTAGAATGGGGCAGCGCGGCAGGAGGGTTGATAGCGGACCACTCAGTAACTTACGTAGCCGTGAAAAAGTCTCAGCAGCAGCGAGAAAGTTCTCAGCAGCAGCAAAAGGCAGCTCAGCGGCATGCGATCTCTCGGGCTGAGAAGCGGTGAAAGCGGAACGGGGGGGTCAGCGGCCGTCTGATCCCTCCGGGTAGCAGCTTCTCGAGATCCCGCCCGAGCGATTCTTCGTTCGCTTCTTGTCGTCGAGTTCTCTTCTATCTTCCTTCGCAATCACGTCGGGGGTTCACCATATGTCGCGGTCGAGGCGGGGGGGCGACATGGGTTTCAGGATACCAGCAGCTTTTTTATTGCAACAGTACAGCTACCTTTATACAGTTCTGGGGTAACACATGTACACACAGCATTGGTTTACCATATCATAACAACTCATGATTGGACATACAGCCACATGTCCTAACACCATAGGTTGACATTCCTCACAGGAAACCCACTGTGTCACAGTCCCCACTGTCTGTGGTTAACCCTCTGCCAGGTGTAAGAAGTTCCATCTTCAGTATCTCAGTTTACTGAGAGCCCAGAACCAGCTGGGCTCCCCAACAGGCTCCCCTAATGGTTTTCTATTTTCAAATTTTCTCATGCTTTTGGGAGGTTATTAGTGGCTTGGTGTGGTATGTAACTGTCCTTTGGTTACATTTGAGTGAATTATAAGCTTCTTAATTTTGCTTAGAAGCTTTTAGATATCCATTTCTGTCTCGGTGCAAAGGCAATTTCTGAGGCTGTTTTTATGTTGGCTTTGATCTTTTGGGGAAATCTCGACCAGCACACTTCAAATCTACAGATATATGTATTCATGTTCAAGACTACCTGACTGTTGATTTACTTTTTACATTTACCTATTTATGCATTTGTGTTAGCTCGTATTATAAAACACACAGGTTCTGTGAGGCCGCCGCTGTAAAAGATAATAAAGAATGTTTTCATAAATACTTTAACAGAAAAGGAGGGCCAAGGAAAATCCCTATCCTTTATTGGTTTTGGGAGGGAACATCATCACTAAGGATGAGGAAAAGGCTCAAATATTTAATGTTTTCTTTGCCTCTCCAACTCTCCCAGCCTGTCGTCATAGGAGAGGTGTCCCAGCCCTCTGATCATCACTGTGGCCTCCTCTGTACCCACTCCATCCGGTCTATGTCCTTCTTATGTTGGGTCTTCCCTCATCAGTTTGGGATAGTGGAGCAGAACAACAGGATTCTGCATTTGCAGGCAGTGATTAACAAAGACATAAAGTGTGACATTTACTCAGCTGAAAGTGAGAACCTACAGTCACAGGTGTCTGCATAGATCTATGTCTACATATACTAAGCTGGTTTAAAATTTCTCTGTAGTGGATTTAAATTTAGGTAAAAAGGTCAATAGCAGCCAGGAAGGAATTCACATAATATAAGCAGATACCACCATTTGCTCATGTGAATTCCCAACAGCATCCACAGTATGAAACTGACTGCAATGGAAGCTTTGTTGTCTATCTCAGAGGTAGATCCCTCCACACAGAGCAAAGCAAGTCAACTCTACCTGTGTGATCTCAACTAAACTTGTCCCACTCACCTCTGGGGTGCTTGAGAAAATCAGAAAGTGAGAGTGCTTGAAGGTCTGGTGGTTTTGCACCATTTAACTGGTGACTCCAGTCCTAGATCTTGAGCCCTTTGAGTGAGACACTGCCCAGAGTCAGAACTAAGAATGATTTCTGTCCCTGAGGAGCTTACGAGCTCACTGTAAAACAAGACAGAATTACAAGCAGACAAGTATAAAACAAAGGCGAGGTATAAATGAAATCCCTGAAAACAGAAGGAAAGAAATTATGTAATGGAAGGGTATTTGCATTTGTGCATAGGCCCAGAGCAAATCTTTTCCTTGATTTGCCGTAACTTGACAAGGTAACTTTTCAAAATATGGTGGAATTACAGCCGTAGAAAACATCTTCTGAAGAAGCATAAGTCAGAAAGAAAATGTTATTGTGCTGGCTTGCCTACTCTATTTTCTTGGATTTGATATAAATGTGACTTAGTTTGTCTCTGAAAGAATGTATCTCACTTCTGCCTCAAAAAAAAGCAGCAATTCAAAAACAGAGCAAATATTGTCATTGTTTTAAAGTAATTTTTCATCTGGCATTTACCTCTATCCAAATGCCACTTGACTTTGCAGCAGCTTGAACACCAAAAGCTTTTCTAAAGCATGCTTTACTTTGCAAACTAGATTGTTTTTATAAAGGTATTAAATTGAAATCTATAGCCATGGGATGACACTTTCAGACATTCATTGCAAAAAAATTAACTGCCAAGTATCTTAAGGTATTGACTAGATCTGGGTGCAGTCTAATAAAAAATTATCTCATCAAATTATGTGTCAGGTTGTATTACTTCATTGCTACAATGGAAACATCAAGAGAAGAAGATCAATGCTAATCTACAGGAGAGAGAAATTCGCACAACATCTTATAATGACAGAAGATAAATGTCCCACTTGCATTTCATCAATATGATTATTTTATAGTGGTGAAGAGAAAATTTGATAAAAAACAAAGTTCATTTCCTGTTTCCACAATGTACCTTATTTGCTAATACAATTAGTGTGACAAGCTGACACTTGAGTGTCTTGGTTTTGCTTAAAACATTAGATTTTTGTCACACAGGAATTTGGAGAGCATGCAAAGCTGAACTAGCCATAAGAATGAAGGATGAGATTTCTCCTGTCTGTTTTTCCTTTGTGGAGGGCAGGACTAAGCCAGAGATCCTTGATTTGCTTTTGTGTGGGGTACCTGAATGGCATGCTCTTGGCGAGTGGCCTGCTTAACCACAGTTTTAAAGGTAAGAGCACGAATATGAACAGTTTATGTGTGTAACAAATAGGTAAAACTGGCTGGGAGGCTGTACTAGTTAGAACAGCTGGGACCAGTTCATCACTGTGTGGATGTAACCCAAACTGTGTATTTGACGCCCTCTATGTCATTTCCCAGAAGCTGTTAGCAATAGACCATTGGCAGCAGCTGCCCAGAGCACACCTGACCCCTCAGGCTATAAGCTGGGTGATAAGAGGCCTGTGAGATAGGAGAATGTTTCTGTCCTCACACCCAGGACTCACAGTCACCCATTGTGGAACTCCCCACCCTGAGGGAGGTGCTGGGCATTCCTGCCTGAACCTGAGTGTATAGGATCTTGGGGTTCTGGGACTTCTAGGGACGATTTGTGAGATCCAGAGGAGGACTGAACCCTCGACCAGACTGTGACCACCACTCCCAGCCGGACTGTGACCATCACTTGCACCAACAGGTTTTTCCCTCTCCTTTTACTTTTGGACTCAGGAGGACCACATGGGGCTCAGCACGGGGGCCAACGAACACCATTCTGTTCATACCCCAAAGTGCCGGGTTTTATATCTGGGTTTTTGTGGGTTAAAACCCATTGTTCATTTGTATAATTGTATTTATTTTATTATTTTTATTAAATTGTAATTCTGACTTATTATCTCTTTTGAGTTGAGTTCATTTCTCTTGCCAGTTTACCTTTAAACCGGCACAGAGGCATTGACCAAAAATTGATCAAGTTAGAGAGGTGGTTGGCCATCAGCCAGATCAAAGAGTAACCAGGAAATTGCAAAGAAGCTTTAGAAATTAAGAAAGAGGCTGAAAAGAAGTATAAAAGAAGCATGAACATTTTTAGCCACAGCAGGGATATTTGAGTGGATCAGCAGTAGTCAAAACCCACCAGAAGCTGCCCTGATGTGCCACCAACCTTTACTCAGTGGGATGGAGCAGCCACCCCATCGGATGCCGTGAGTTGCATTCAACTGATTAGAGAATTGCAGGGAGCAGCAAGTGAGGACTTGCACCTCACATATACTTATGCAAACCTGTGATGTGTTTTCTCACTGGCATTGGGTTCAGCAGGCTACAGGGAGTGACAAGGATTATCCTGAGTTACCAATTAATTGTATGTTTTTAAACTAATAAACCTCTCCAGCCCTGAGTTGGTTTAAACTGTGGGAACTCGGTAACTTCCCCCTGTGAGAGTTTTTGTTGCTGTTCTTGAGTATCGGGTAAGTGCAGAAGGAGTGATGTGCACTTGGAAGCATGGGAAGAGAGAAAGTGTTTTCTGGCAGGTAGGAAAGAGGTAAAGGGTCTGCATGCTTGTATTGTCTGTTTTCCACTCTAGTTTTTCTCCCTTTGTGAAGATGATTTGTAAAGAACTCAGAAGATGAATGTATCTAAACACAGTTTGTCTTCCTCCCACAGGCTCCTCAGTGGGAGAGAGGTCAGAGAGTTGCTCTGAAAATCATTTTGGAAGGAGGCAAATCAGGGCAGAAAACAGAGAACAGCACTGGGAGACATCAGATATCCTGGGTAAATTTAATTTCAAGATGCAATCCCCCCATTAATTTCTGCTTTTAGGGCATACAGTCAACCCACAGGAGGACCGATAACTATTAGCTCTGAGCAGGTCCCAGAACTAGAGGTTCAGAATATACATATAGAAGATCCACCCTGTGTTACTGACCAGAAGATACATGGATTTAACAGCTGTACTGAGAGGGAAAAAAGAGGTATTCCTTACAGTCGAATGAAATGTTGTAATGGAAAAAGCTAGCCTAAAATGAGGAAGCTTGTTAAAGAGACATTTAAAATGAGCAGATAATGAGGTAAAATGCAATTAAAACACATCATACTAGAAACTTAGGGCCTAGGATGATCATTTCCATATCTTAAAGCTGGCATAGCTGAAAGAGTAAAGGAAAGTATTAGAAGTAAAAATACTGCACACCATTAAAAGTGGCAGTAGTTTCCACTTGAGAAGAAGATAATGGATTGTAGCAAATTTAGTACTAATGAACAGCAAGGCAACCAGGGGAAAAAAAAAGAATAGGAGTAACTCAGCAAAGGCATAACTGCCAATAATTAAGATTCCTTCAAAACACATCAGAAAGATGGAGCTTGCCCAAGTCAGTAGGATGAATAGATAATGAAGATTAAAAGCTTTGATCCCCACTTACCGCAAGGGAAGGTGGGGAAGGTAACACTGTTTGCAGAAGAGCAGAGATGAGGGTCATGGGAAATTGTGTCAGCCAGAATTGTCAAGAGCAGACATTTCAGAAATCAATAAACTGAATGCAAACATCTGAGAGCTGTTATTTTTAAAAAGAAATTCAGATCTGTGATCTTCATAGAATAATAGACTTGACAAACTATTCACTAAATATCCTACCTGTTGCTTGACCCAGACTCAGAGTCAGGGAAATAAAAAAAGTGGTTAATATGGTACCATTAGTGTCTCAAAGTGTGCCTCAGGTCATCTCAGTAAAGACCAACCAGTTACTTTTGGTTTTAGAACTAGCCAGATTGGCAAGGAACTGTAATGAGAAATTGCATTAATAAATATGGATGAAAATATAGATCTGAAATGAGTCGCAAGAATGTCTTGTGATACTGTAAGTATTCTCTGAAGATGGCAGTTTACTGGTGAACCTGTCAATCCAGTATACTAGGGCTTAAGAAAAAGAGTTTAC